CAGTGTATTATTTGTTGAAACTGTACTTTCGATTTGATTTGAAACTGTCTCATTGCTATATGCTTATCAATAAAACTTTGAAAAGAAAAAAAAATGTATAGTATGGTGGGAAAAACATGAGGTCTGGAGTTTAAATTCGCTGTGCTACACTACCCAGAGTGGATCGCCTGAACGCCCAGGGCCTCGGCTGCGTTTTGTTTTGCTGTTTTGCTTTTGCATCAGTACAGTGGGGATCGAAATACCCACCTCCTGGCGATGCTGGAAGACTCACTGGTGCGCATGCATTAGAGGTGCGAGGGCTAGTAACACGCCCAGTGTCTAAGCACAGTCAGTTCGCAGAGCCCAGAGCGCTGTCTCTGCCTTTCTCAGGACCAGCGCGCTCCGCACAACGTCAAGGTCCCTGCAGGCCGAGCTCAACAGAAACTTTCTAGCTGGCAGCGTACGCCAAGAGCCCGGAATCGATATTTTTCTATTTGCCCATGCGACTGTACTTCCAGGAAGTCACATAAGGAAGTACCAGACACACGCGATTTATGGAGGGGTTTTGCTGTTCCATTTTCCATAGCAGCAGAAAACTGAAAACAGTTTAAACGTCCAATAAAAAAGGATTTGTTAACTTTGAGGGGGAACAAAATTTATTCTTTTGAAAGACTATTTACAAACATATAAACAGGCAATGTAATGTTAAAGAGAAAAACTCAGATGACAACACTAAGTGCTAATGCTCCAGTAGTGCATTATTTCCTGTGTTAGTGTAGCTTGGAATAAAAGGGGGCGTTAGGCTTTATCTCTGGGGATAACATTAGAATTTTTTATTTTTTTCCCTTCTCTGAATTTTACTAAGCTTTCCAATAAACATTTATGAGTTCTAAATGAATAATTTTTTTCAAAAGCCAAGAGCTTTCCAGTGTTGGAAATAATTTATTCCAAGGTTGGAATAAATGTACAGTCACAGAATGAATCAGTATTCATTTAAAATCAGAGCTAGAAATCATCTTAAGTATCCCCTGACCTAGTTTCTTTATTTTACAAGTGAGAAAAAAAGAAATGGAGAGAGCTGTTTCTTTTTACATTGAGAGAGAGAGAAGCAGTTCTGTATTATGACAAAGATTTCTTCCACCTACCCTTTCTTGCAGCACCCTGTCACGCCCCGCAGCACCCCGGCGCCCCCTGCTGGCCTCTCCCATGCACCCCAGCACCTCACCACTTGCTGCACGGTCCGTGCCACTGACAGAAACTCTCTGGACTCCTTCTGTCTGTACTCGGGAAGAAACTCGATGTTGGTGATGCGAAACATCCCCACAAAATAAAAAGCATCTTTGCTTTCTGTCTTACCTGCAAAATAGGAGGGAAGGTGATTAGGGGACTCTCCCATCTGCACGGCAACAAGCAAAGCTAGTCTGAGGCTCCTAACATGGTTTCATTTTAGCAGCCACACGTTTTGTTCAATCATGTTCTATGACACTCTTCTAAAAGTACTTACTGACATCTCTTCCATCAGAAGCAAAACACCACGTATCTTAAAATGCCCTATTCTCTCTGACTACCTCTGCCAAATATTTATAGGCAAGATTTAAAGGTAGAGGCTATATTCTAGAGTTTCTAAAGAAAGAAAAGAATACATACAACTTTCATGGATTCCAAGACTATGACATGTAAGGAAGTAAAAGAAGGGAGCAACTCCCATTGACTGTCCCTGGGGCTTCCATTCATCCCGTCTGACTGTGTGGCCTGATGGTCAGGTCCTGGGTGGGTCTTCAGCTCTGTCCAGGGCATGGAGAATTTGTTCTTCTGATGAGGCAGCCAGCATGTCCCACGGCCCTTGTCAGGTACTCCTCAAGTTTTCTGCCCAGTGACAACTACCGGATTTAATGTTAGGCCTGCCCAGAAATTTTGCAGGAAAAGAGGCAAAGGCAAGGTTGTGACTTTTGCACAGCCTTAGGACACCTAGGAAAGAGGCAGTAGCTGGAGGAAGTGAGAGCCTCTCACCCTTTCTTCATGTTTACAAGGCGGCCCTTGTGCAGTCCTTTCTACAGCAGGCTGCATCACAGCTCTACGAGCTTGTGCTTGTTCTCAGAGGAAATGGATGTCAACTTACACTTTCTTTCCCTCAGCAGCCACTGTCAAGGGCCAGGCTTAGTCTGGGGCTCAGTACATGACTGCAAGGAGGAAGACAGTGAGGGACTGGGTGGAGGGGGAGAGATAGAGAATGTTCCTTGCTAGCACAGGACCCACTGCACATGCCAAATAAGTGAGGGTTAAAGTAAAAAGAAGATACAACCTCCAGGATGCCAAGAAGCAGCCCCACTGTAGGACTGAACCATAGTCATTCTGACCCTGAGCAGAACAATGAGGCTGTGGAAGGGGAAGGCAGGAGACCTGCAGTCCTGTGCTGGGCTTGTGCACTGTGGTTATTGATCATGCCTTACTAGGCCTCCAATATAGAACACAATGGATTTTGGTTTTCTTTTTATAAGACAGGTGCTTCTTAGCTGTGTTTCACACATCCTTCTCATATCAGAAAGCACGCAAGCATCAAACAGTAGCGATACAAAGATCAATTCAGCTTTGAGTCTGATCGCGTTTACTGATCTGTAGCTCAGTCCAACAGGCAAGATCCTCCATGGCCTCTGTAACTAACTGTCCTGCTCACTCCCAAGGCTACCTTCTATGCCCAAATTTTCCATATCAGATTAACTTGTTTTCCATTGAACAACTGAGACTCACGCACACTAGTTTGCTTTTGCTCATACTTGTCTGTCTCCATGAAATATCCTTCCCAATCATTTCACAGCTAACAAACTCCTTTCGCACAAGTCCAAAACTTTATCTAGTAATTCCAACCCAATGCAAATGCATCAATTGAGATACAGAAGTAATATAGACTAGCTTGCTTTCCATGGCAGTCGTATGCTTGTTTTAAATATCCATTGACCTGATCTGTCTCCTCGCAGACATAAATTGTATCCTTGGTGTCAGTCTGTCCCCCGGGGGTCACACACAGTGGACTGTCCCAAAATGTACCAAGTATATTGGCAGGAACCACTTCAGGAAAGCTTCTGTGGACTCCGTTCATAGGCAGGCTGGATGCCACTCTTCTCTGATCACAAAATAACCACTTAAGGAAAATAAACAAACGAACAAGTAGCACACACCAGTGCAGGACTGGATGCTTTGTGAAGATAGGAAATGCACCTGGTAGCTTCTGAACGTAGCCTGGGGAGCTACATTGAGCCTCATAAATTTTACATGAACAATTTGTATTTTGTAACCTAAACTGAAATTATTTTTTTTTAGTGTTTCTATTTTATTTTTTTTTAAATTTTCTGCATTTTTTTATTTTTTTTTATTTTTCAACAAATAATACACTACATATGTTCTTCTTAGTGGTTAATTGCTGTACAAGATGCGGACTTGTGATCCTATTTACAAACACCATTAGAACAAATCATTCTATTCATTAACAGAATGTAACTATATATCTATCCCAACCACTTTGAATACACAGATACAAAATGGACATTCATCTGTATACCCCATTTTTTCTAAGTTCCGTTATTGAATATTATAGGTGTGTAAACTCAGCAAAATATTCTAAAAGAGTCCAGTAGCCCATAATAGCATTGGGTCTTCTGTTTAACTGGCAATGTCAGAAATTATTGACCTGAGTCCCCCACAGCTCAACTTAACAGCGTGGCTTTATTTCTTATAATTTCGTCTTCATACTTTTCTGCTGGATGGTTAAGACCAAGGTAAAGCAGGACCTATGCAACAAGAGTTGTAGCTTTTTGGTCTGAGAAGGTCAGTGAAATGCCCTCAGGATTTGTCCTGAGATCCTGTACCTCAGATTGTAGAACCTTTATCAGTGCAGCCATGTGGATGAGTCACGGCCAATGCTTGGCCAATGTGCTCTCTGTGAAAGCCTGAGAGAGTGTCTTCTCCCCATGTGACTCTCCTTAGGCACACTCTATGTAATCGATCACTTTCCTCTTTGGCCCCATAATCTTCTTGATCAGAAAATTTGGGACACTACCGAAGTACATGACGTTGCAGTACAAGTTCTCATATGTCCTGAGTCTTAATTGACCTTAGAAGGCTAGGGCCAAAATGTTGGCTTTCCTTGTATCCCTCCTTTTTCTCTAATTTTGGTCTGCAAACTTAGGTTGTTAACCATCCAGAAGAAAAGCTTATTGTTATTATCAAACGATTTGGGCTATCAATCTTAACCTCACTATCTCACTGCATTTCAAACATCTTAGGCATAATAAGGAACAGGTATTTTTCATCAAGTATTGATATGTTGAACTTTAAGTCCCAACATAATATGATAAAAAAACATTTAAAAATTAGATTATATTTTAAAAAATAGGATAAAGAATTCTATGCTTCTCATGTTTGCACATAAGTCCAAAAATCTCACCATATACAACCTTGAAGCAGGACAGTCCCACAATATTCCTTTTCCTGTCTCTTGCTTTCCTTCACCACCGCCTTCTTCTTGAACATCCATCTGTTGTCGTTTACTCCTTTTTCTCCTGTGTTTAATTGCTAACCCTATTTATTTGGTTGCTTCCAATCTCATTCGTGGGGTTCTGATCGTTTTGTTCCGTCTCTAGAACATCTTTCAGTAGCCTTAAACTGAAATTATTTATTAATGCTTTGCCTTTTAATTTTGCCTTACAGTCAGATTTTAGTACCCTTGAGAATAAACTGAAGAAGTCTTTTTTTCTGCTCAAAATACTCCCAATTTCAAATGTGTGGAGTTTATTTCCCACACAAAGCAATTCTTCAGTTGTCCGCAGACTCCAACTGGATAGCTAAAAGTTCAATTTAGTTCTTGCACTAGCTCTCCAGAGCATCAGACAGTTGAAGGGCTCAGTTCCACATGACTGCCCACTTCAGACCCCAATCACAAGTACAGGGTCTCTGGGCTTCATACACTGCTCTGCATATTAGGTGTTTGCATGACCCTCCTCAGGTGTGAAAATTTGCTACAGTGGTTCACAGAACACAGAGAAAACTTTCCTTAAGGACATTATATAGTGGACAAATAAACAGCCAGATGAAGAGATACAGCACCCAATCACAGGCACTTCTGTTCCTGTGGAGGTGGGGCATGCCACCCTCCCAGCAAGCAAATATTTTACCAGTCCCAGAGCTCTCTGAACCTTGTCTGTTAGGGCGTTTATGGAGGTTTCATTGTATAAACACGATTGGTTAAAAAATTGGTCATTAGGATTGAGTTCAGTCTCCAGCCTCTCCCTCTCCACCCTGTCCCCAAGGCGTGAGGGGAGAAAAAGGTACAATTCTCAAATCACACGATTTCTTCTCCCAGTTTTCCAGGGGTGTTCAGTCACCAAACATCTCATTAACAATGATACAGCAAAAGATGCTCCTATGACACATATTGCTCAGAAATTTACAAGAGGGTGAGAACTATTTTGTTAGCAATCCAGCACATAGTCCAAGTATACCAAGCACACGTATTTTCTAAAATCACAGTACATGTATATTTTATCAGATAAACTAGCATGTATAGGGTGGAAACTAACATAGCTCTATGAGGGCTGTGGCTACTGAGTTGTATAAGGGCTGTATAAGAAAGAGCTTAAGTATCACATTGGTCCAAAGGATCAATTAGATGGAAAAAACATCACAACAAGAGAGAGGAAGATGCTTCTGTGAACTGGAGCTGAGGGAACCAGAAATTTAAGGTTGCCTAGAAACAGCCTGCAGGGGAAACAAAGCACCTTAACATTCCATTAATATTTTATAGCCATAGATGTGTTATATCTTTGAACTAGTCAAGATCTCCTGGGCATCCTTGTCAACTCTTCCCATTATATACCTCTGGCCTGTGGAAGGAAGTGGCAGTCATACAAGAAGAAAGGAGGGAGACTACCCTGATTTCTTTCCCTTTAAAATCTCAGCACAAGTTTTGAAAACAGTGTGTTGGTGTGGGAAAGAGGACAATTCCATCAGATCCCTAGGGCAGCCTAGGCCCACGTGACTAGAGCAGGACTCACACCACAAGCCCCTGTCCCAAAGGAAATAAACTTGAACTTACTGATATAGAGCCACAGAAGTGTCCAAGCTGTGACTGCTAGGATAAATAAAAACAGTGTGAGGAGAATGATTTTGTTTTGAACGTTCCAAAAGGGAGCTCTCTTCTTGGACTGTTTGTTGGGTCTGCCTTTGCCAATAGGTTTTCGAAGTGGTCGTCTCCCTGGTAGCCTTCCCGGGACACCAACCACATGAATTGATATATGGGATATCTTTTAAAAGAGAAAGATACAGTATCATTAGAAGTAGTTAAGAGTTTAAATGGAACTAACTACTAGGAGATTTTGGTGTTAAGAGGACTAACTATATGAGTTAAATTATTTATGTAAGTATAATAACTGGATTTGCATTAAGTCGCATAGTAAAGATCAGAAAACTTAGACATTATAGCAACCCTAGAGAAATGGCTCCCAGGTTCTGTCAGCAGCTCTCTGACCCTGCTGAGTGAATGCTGTGACAGAAGCCTGAAGCTCATGGAGCACAGTACACCAAGGGATCTGGAGCTCAGGAAGTGAAGGTCAATATTCTGTGAGGGTAGATTTGTGTGTGTTCTCAGCTGTGTGTGTGCACTTCAAATGTTCATGCTACGTTGCTGTCCCCTCTCACAACCGATTCTATGTTGGCCAAGGCAGTATTCAAAATAAGAGTTAAAATAAGATATCTCGTAGAAATAAATTGATTTCCTAATTATAGCTTTATGACTGACACTGAATGGTAGGCAGAAAAGTTAGGTGATTGTGTAGGTTTGCAAGGAAGGAATCCAACATGCTTGTTTTACCACTGCCCATTACTGAACTGATTGGTGATTGTTTTTCAATCATCAATGAAAGAATAATTTTTAAGTGAAGTGAAAAAATGACTGGTCTATCTTATGACAGCTTCTCCATCATAAGTGCCAGAATAATTTTAAGAAAAAGCAAGGAGTTAAGTTTGGTGGCATAATCTTGTAATCCAAGCATTCAAGATGCTGAGTCAGGAGGATCACTGCACGTTTGGGGCCAGCCTGGACTCTGCAGTGAGCTCAAGGCAAGCCTGAATCACATAGTAAGATACTATTTCAAAAAATCAAAAATAAAATAAAACAAGGGATGAAATAGAGGACTCACTGAATTAGATATCAGAACTTTTTTTTTTCGGAACCGGGGATGGAACTCAGGTCCTTCCGCTTGCCAAGGAAGTGCTTATTCTACTGAGCCATCTCCCCGGCCCTGAATTAGAAAATGATTGGCTTATATGTACTGATATGAGAAGTGTTATGTGGAAGAGGAAAAAAATACATTATTTAACTGTTTCCCCTCCTCCTCCTCCCCCTCCTCTTTTATTTTCTCTTCTACCTTTTGTCATTTGATGCTGTGAATTCTTTAATAATGTATTCAAGACTTTAGCTTCTTTGACAAAGAGATTTATGCATGTCAGGGTAACTAAACTCCAGTGATGAAATAACTTTTAACCACACATTCTTTTAAAGGCAATAGTCTACCAACCAGCTCTGAAAAAATAATCTCTCTTTTGTGCTTTTGTTAAAAGTTCTCTCAGTTTCTTTTATTCTTCCTCACTCTTCCCTTCAAAATTCCTGTCTTTCAGCCTTTAATCCTGACAATTAATGGGATAATATGTGGCCCAGTAGACTTTGAATTATTCATGGTTCCCTTATTCTTTTTGTCAAACACTCTTGTTATCCCTTGGAGTAAAATGTCGCTTGTAAACCTCCTGGAGGAACTGAGTGAAAGCAGCCCATGTTTACTGTGATGTTCTGTCCCGGTGAGGAGTGTGGATCTAGAAGAAAATATTGTGCTGTAGGGGCTGACTATGGTACCACCCTACTTTCAGGCCTTCCTTCAAAGATGTAAGAGAAAGAAACACAGAAATGTCAATGCATACAAAACTGACAAGACTAAATTTGGATCTTTAAGTGCAAGAACATATTATAGGCAGTCTCAGTTAGCACCGATTAAATTTTAAAGTGGAATTTGTGTTGAGATCAGTACAATTTTCCTGGAGTTCTAGAGAAACAGTTTCTAATCAATTGCCAGGTAAAGTACTTCAAAAAGATCTCACATTTGCAAACTCTATTAAGTATCATTAAAAAAAAAAAGATTTTTTTGTCCCTTTATTTTTATAGAATCATAAGAGCTCATTTTACTAACAGGTTCAACATTCAAATGACATTCAAGTAGGAAGAGACTCCCACACATACTGTACTTACTTTCAGGTCAGCAGGTTTGGATGAAGCATCACTGTTTTCTTTGTCCATTTTTAGATGTTCTGTCTGTGACCATTTATGTGTTCCTGCAGGTCAGCTCTCGCCCTGTTACATGCTCGTTTGAGAAGAACTGAGCAAGCCGTCACCACATGGAAGCTTGCTTTCAGAGGCATGGAATCAATTTACCTCCTCCAGTCCAGTTCAGAAACTGAAGCTACCTTATTGCTCTATAGTGGATGTTAAAGGGCCCTACACTCAGCTTTTCATCACAAATGAAGAGCTTCTTATGAGACTCTAGAATGAGAGATGAGTCTCAGAGCTTAGCCTCAACACAAAGTTTCAGATCAATAACCCAACAGCCCAAAAATGCATATGAAGTATTATTAAAATGGTTACCTGTGTTTACTAAAGAATATTAAAAAGTCTAATCCATAAGCCTCAGTACCATTTCTTAGATGACCTTACTCCCATTCATCTTGTCTCTGAAGATGCTCTTCTCCAACCTGCTCTCAGCTTTCTGGCCATGCTTTTGGGAAACTCCGAGCTGTGAAAGACAGGGGCTGAGGGGTTAGCATAGTAGCATAAGTGCCTGCCTGGCAAGTGCAAGAGTCTGAGTTTGATTCCCAGTACACCCCCCAAAAAAAATCCACAAAAATACACCTATTGAGGCTAATTAATATTGCACACCAAGAAAATAGATTTAAGCCATCTTGAAAATGTTTTAACAAAATGTCAGCTATTTAATACAGCAAAGGGGTGGTGTCACCAGAGTTTAAGGTGGTCCCCAAAGGCAGAGATAGGGAAACTTGACTCACCCTATCCACAAGATAGCTTGCAGGTTCACTGACTTCTGTCAAAGAAAAAGAATTTTTAGGACACATCAATAAAAGGCATAAGGGGCCAGGGACATCAGTAGAATAAGCACTTGCCTGGCAAGCACAAGGGTCTGAGTTCAATCCCCGTTCCACATAAAATAAAATAAAAAATAATAAAAAGCATAAAAGGACTTATTAGGCAGAATTCAAAGTATGCACTTAAAGAATTAAAAATGGGCCCTCAAGAAAGAAAGTAGTTCTACATATAGTCTGGAGATGGGAAAATTTATGTATCTTTGATAGTGGAAATCTGTGGAATTATGAATCTATGGAAAGTTTGGTTTTGTTCACTAAGGAAGAAAAGGGATGTTGCACCCACAATTACATAATGGCCTATTTTACAAGAGTGTAGCACATAGTCTCTTTTATTTTTAAAATGATTGGTGATCTAAGACATTTTGCCCCAAAGCATTCATTGTTAACTCTATAAATTTGCTTTTTCACCTTAAGATTAGATTTCTGCCCTGATCAACAAATCTAATTTTTGGAAATACATTATCTTTAGAGTATTTGGGTGTGATTGGACTAGAAGAAAAGAAATATAAAGAGAGAGTACAGATATGACTAACCTTAGGTAAATTTAATGGTATCCTAAGTTGCAGTCTTTTTTTGGGGGGGGGAGCAGAATATATTTATTGCAGGAAAGAAAGCTCCTGTCCAAGAGAGGAATAGGAGGGGAGCCCCAAGCAGGTGGTCCTCCTAAGTTGCAGTCTTCAAAACACAATTTTTAAATTATGAGTTTCCTTTATAACTATCTTTATTTATTCTGCTTTACATCATTTCCTCCACTGGGACTTTGATCCCTTATTCTTAAGGGACACAGACAAGCTGAAGATCCATCTTCATATGCTCGCTTCAGGCTGAGGCAAGACGCTGACCCTGCCTACCCAGGAATCAAACGTTTCACTGTGTTTGATCCAAAGAAAAAAATAAAAAGATTATATTTTGTTTGAAGAACTATCATCCTTTTTGAGTCTAGAAAAAAAGCAAGGCCTTTAGCAAATCATTGCTATTTAAGTTTCATTTTATAACCATGTTAAACAAGCAGGAATCAAAAGCTAAAAGTAGAATAGTGGTGGATAGTGGTTCCAGGAAGTGGGAGAAGTCAAACAACACTAGAAAAGATAGGGCCTAAGTCTTTTAGCCTTCATTTTAACTGCTATTTGGTTTAAGGTACTTACCCAAGTAGAGCAGGTAGAGTTTAAGAGCTTATAGAAATCCAATGTCTTCCTATTTTAATTGTAACAATGTCTAATTAATACACTAAATAAGTATATCTACATTTCTGTGAACATTTGTCATTAAACTTTATTGTTGGCCTCTATTTGGAAGCCCTAAAGACCTTTTGTAGTGACTTGCTGCAATTAATATGAAATCTGACATAGATAAAAATATTAGTTTGTACCACAAAGATAATAAAGCTTAGTAGCTAGAGTATTTATCTGGGCATATTTATTCTATAGGCAGTCCTGTATAAGAAGCCAACACTTTCTCAATCTTTTAACATTTAGCCAATCTTTTAATGTATATCAATATAACATACTGTTAGTATTCTAAGACAGGGTGAAGTAAATATTTTAGAAAAGCTAATGAGACCAGTAATTCAGATCTCACATAGTTGTAGGGTAAGATATTATCAGTGCAACTAAAACAGCTAGTAGGGACTGGTTCAATGTTTGTAGCCCCTTTTTATATCTAGTCTATCTTTCTCTGTTTTGTTTTGTTGCTTTATTTGTTCATTTGTTCATTGAGACAAAGTCTTGTTTCTTGAGATGGGCAGTTCAGAGTGACCTATGCAGCCCATTCTGGCCTTGAACGCCTGGCAATCCTGTGGCCTCAACCTCCTGAGCACTGTGGTTGCAGGTGTATGCCACCACAATAATCTCTTTCTCTGTTTTTGTATTACTATTAATTATTCCTTTTTATTATACTTTCTCATTGGGTGTTTAAGAACAAAGGTCAAACTAAGACCTTTGTTAGTCAAAATTTGTCTCTATATCCTTACAAATCATTTAAGAATCCTTAGGAGCTACTTTTGGAACCATATGAGGATTCTCTTAGCTCCTTTACCTTTTCCCTTTACCAATTGAGTCATCTGCCAAAATAGGTTATGTTCTCATTTGTCCATATGGATTCTTTTTAAAGTACAGGGGACATTTCACTCTTTAAAAGCCCTTCTGTTTGCAAATATTAGTTGACTCCTGTCCTCTGGGTTCCAACAATCTTCTTGTTCATGAGATTGGATGACTCACCATAGTTGCATGGTCCTTTCAGAGGTGTCCTGTAATGCCCTGAGTCCTGGCTGATCTTTCCTAAGGGCTAAATAATATTGACTGTCCTTTCAGTCCTTTTATTTTCTTTAGTTTTGGTCTCTAAGGCCTTGGCTTTGAATGCCTAGGAGCCCAGTTACATTAACCTTTAAGTGATAATAATAGATCTGTATGTCAGTACTTATTAGAGAAATATTTAATGTAAGATATACAAATATATAAGAGCTGATAATATTGGTTTACAATGGCTACCCACAAAGTCAGATATGAAAGAGAATGAAAGGGAAGCTTATCCACTGGAGATCTGAAGAATCCAGTTGAAGACTTGGAGCCCACTGTAGTGTCTCCTGTGAATCCATATCAGGAGGCCTAAGTTTTTGTGTTAGAAGCCTGAGGTGTCTGCACCAGAAGCTAGTGTCCAGAAGACAGTGTCCAAGATAAGGACTGGAGCTCCTCTGAAGAAATAGAAGGAGGCTTTTGTTCTTTGTTTCTCTTTTATACCATTCAGGCAAAAGGCATACCCAGCTAGAGTATTCTGTCTTTAGTAAATCCCCTCAGCCACATGCAGAACTATGCTGATCAAATTTAGTTGCACATTCTTAGTCAAGTTGATACAACCAATTAACCATAACAAGATCTTAATCACAATTCTTATAATCTTTTTGGATATTGGGACCATTTAAAATACAAAGTGTGACCACAGAACAGATACCGCTTTCATAAATCATAGTAAGTATTAGTACTAGACATCAGCGTTATTCTGTTCTGTAGGAAATAGCCTGTCATCTCAACATACTGTTCAGGTTGTTCTTTATAAGTCATGTTCCGAAGTTGTACTTCCCATGCCTCTTTATCTCCTAGAGCTGGTTTGCTAAATGTCACCACCCAGCTAGGTCTAAAGTGGTCCCTAAAGCAGAGATGAAATTTGACTTTTCTCATCCACAGTACAGGTTGTAGGTTTCCTGAATTCTATCAAAGACAAAATAATTTTCAGAACATTAATAGAAGACTGAAAGGTATTTATTAGGCAGAATTTAAAGTAGACAAAGAAATAGTATGGGCTATGATGAGGTTATGAGGATAAAGGAACACTTCTTCACTGTTGATGGGAGTGTAGACTGGTACAACGCTGTGGAAAGAAGTGTGAAGGTTCTTCAAATTTCTAGGATTAGAAATTTCATTAGACCCAACTGGTATTTTCCAAAAAGAATGGAAAACATCATTTCACAGCTATACCCATGTTTACAGCAGCACAATTGGTCATAGCTAAACTTTGGAAACAACCCAAATGTTCATCAACTAAGGAATGGATAAAAAAGATATGGTATTTTTACACAGTAGGGTATTGCTAAGCTATAAGAAAAAGATAAACTCAAGGCTTTTATAGGTAAGTGGATGCAACTAGAGACGATACTTATAAATGAAATAAATCAGACCCACTTGTGTAAACAACATATTTTCTTTCTAATGTAAGAAACTGAAAGAGTAAATAAATTCTGAACAGTACAATTGTGAAAGGGAAAGAAACTACTTAACAGGAAAGAACAACT